AATATTTTATTATTCCTCGCTAATGTATTTATAGATATATAATTTCTATATATATTTAATGCATATTTCCTTCATTGAATTAGTTAAAAAAATTAAAAAATATACGTATTGTTGCAATAATGATCTTGCGCAAGGTATTTTTTAATTTAAATTGCAAGGATACAATTATTTGCAAACTTATAATTATTTGCAAGTATATAGTTAATTTCCCTCTGTTTTCGATGTGTTTGAAAAGAGTTTTATCGATCAAATTATCAGAATGTTCAAAAATGATTTCAGAGAATTAGTTATGTATCCTTCATTCCTTGAAATGAAGTTTAGTATTGATTCAATGTTTTTTTTATTTCATATAAATAGAAAATATTTTCAGCATTTTTATTTTCACATGAATATAAACTATTTTCTGCAATCATTCGCCAAATGTCTAAAGCCGGCTCTCGCCGTCTCATTAAATATTTAATTTACAATTCTTATTCTTGTATGTGAATTGAAAATAAGTTGAAAGCGTTTGAACATTTTTTTTTTTAATTTTCTGATAAATGATAATAGCCTAACATTAGTATTTTTTAAACTTGTTCCTACCTTGCTCCATATATGAATGTTCTAACAATTATCAATATATTACATGTTTCATCTTTAATTTTTCCACTGTCATTCTGATGTTTATGCAACCCATTATCTCGACATATTACGTAAAAAATTAAATAGTTTTGTTTACCAGAAATGAACGAACCTGAACACCTTGTCGTGGGGTCAAGTTATGCTGTTTGTTCGTTAACTTGGGGTCAAGTTATGATGTTCGTTCGTGGTCGTGGGGTCAAATTATGCTGTACGTATTAAATTTAGTTAAGCTAGAGTTTCTAACTCTAGGATGATGTCTTGGTGCCTATTCCAAAATACATCAGACGAGGTGCACAGATGTGCACAATAATGCTACAGCCTTTGTACACACAAATGATCTACAATGCTTCAGGATAGTTGCACAGGTGTCAATGGCAATGGGAACGTCAGAGGTAATTTGTTTTTATAATTGAAGCGGACGTGACTAATGAAACGCGGCATGCGATGGCCGTAGACTTAAATATATGACCTGCAAACTTAATACAAATTACTATCCATATTTGAATGCTTCAATTACATTCAAATTATCTTTTGATGATATATCTACTACTGAAAGACTATTATTCTCGCAAAGACTCTCGATAGAGGACGAGTGAAGGGAACGAAGACTCAATATGGAGTGCAAGATGACTCTACATGGAAGAACAGGCAGCAATACATGGAGGGCCAGGCAGCAATACATGGAGGGCCAGGCAGCAATATATGGAGGGCCAGTTAAGTTCATTTTCTACATGAGAGCTCCCACAGTTTGTATATATGTAATGGAGGCATCCATCAGTCTCAGGAAACTATGGAGTTGCGCTCTGGTTGTCGGTCTGGAGTGGCCTCTTCAGGGCGCAAAGCTAGCGTAGGTTTATATGGAGGAGAAGCTGTCACCCATGCAGCAGGTCCCCCCCTCTCCACGGCGCCGAAACTCTCCATTCAAAAAGCAAACTCCAATACGATTGGTTTCAGCTTCGTCGCAGGAACTGTCAGAACGATGTTGAAGGCAATTCAGAACTCGTTTAGGCAGGAATCTGCGAATCACTAGGTCGCGAGTTCAAGTCACTCTATTGCCTCAAAAAGATTTTCATATATATATATATATATATATATATATATATATATATATATATATATATATATATATGTCGTACCTAATAGCCAGAACGCACTTCTCAGCCTACTATTCAAGGCCCGATTTGCCTAATAAGCCAAGTTTTCATGAATTAATGTTTTTTCGTCTACCTAACCAACCTAACCTAACCTAACCTAGCTTTTTTTGGCTACCTAACCTAACCTTACCTCTAAATATAGGTTAGGTTAGGTCAGGTAGGGTTGGTTAGGTTCGGTCATATATCTACGTTAATTTTAACTCCAATAAAAAAAAATTGACCTCATACATAGAGAAAAGGGTTGCTTTATCATTTCATAAGAAAAAAATTATAGTAAATATATTAATTCAGGAAAACTTGGCTTATTAGGCAAATTGGGCCTTGAATAGTAGGCTGAGAAGTGAGTTCTGGCTACTAGGTACGACATATATATATATATATATATATATATATATATATATATATATATATATATATATATATATGGAAATTATTTTAATTGGTTTAATTGAATTATTATAATTATATTAAGAACAACAATTACTTAGTTATGTTAGTTTAGGTAAGGTTATGATATGTTGGGTTTGGTCGTATTACAATGTTAGTTTTAACACAAATTTTAAAAAATGTAATCATATGTAATATAATGGAAAGCTTTGGCATTTAATAAGAAAATAATTAGAAAAATATATGACTTCAGGAAAGCTCGGCTCATTAGGCACACCGGGCCTTGCATAATACTCCAAGTAGTGCATTCTAGCTGTTAGGTACAACATTAGAAATTAAATGGTGTTATCCTGCAGTGCCCAGGTCTCTGTTTCTATGCCTATCCCTCACTCTCGTCATTCCTCCTGTTCTTACTCCCCGCCCCATTCTGTTTTCTCTCCCTGCTTCCTGTTCTCTCTCTCTTCTCTCTCTCTCTCTCTCTCTCTCTCTCTCTCTCTCTCTCTCTCTCTCTCTCTCTCTCTCTCTCTCTCTCTCTCTCTCTCTCTCTCCCAAAAAAGTTAATGTTAAGAACACCTGAAAATTGTAAATAAGTCTCCGGAAAACAAATCTCCAGTTTCAGACTACGAAAATCGCATATAATCGCTATGGGAGTCGATAATTTTTCAAGTATGGCTCTGGCGCTGATCCCAACTAGCCTATTACATTTCCATACCACCCATATTGTATCTTGTAGAGTTGGATGAGACTAGCCCTGAACATCTGACCTCCAACCCTGAACAAACAAACATACCCTCACATATAGACAACATATATATGCACATGTGCGTGTCAATGAAAACGAATTGCGTCCAAATTTTATAAGCTTTTGAAAATAAATTCATTGCAAATTAAGCAAACAGGTTTTACTGAATAGATATATAAAAAATTCTCTTTGGGACAAAGTGAAAAATAATCCAGATCTGTTATTATGACAGCACAAGAATAGTCACGTCAGAATGGGTCAAGACAGCAATTCAGTGTTTGTATTGTAAAACGTTTTAGACTTATTCGCAGACTTGATTCAATGTATATAATTTGTGTATATAAATCATATTTTCAGAGAAATATTAATATAGCGTTCCATTCGTCTATTTTATTATAAGAGAGTTTTTTGGGGGACAAGTTTTCGATTTAAATATTCTCAAAGGACTTTGCACTTAAACTTTAATGGTTGGTAAAATATGTAAACAAAAATATATGTTTTTTCAATCTTCCGATTATTGTTGTTAAATCTTTGTTTAATGTATTTGCTAAAAAAAAATAACAATAGTTTGCATGTGACTTGATTTTAAGTTAAAAATTTAAGGTCAAAGTATTTTTACACAGATGCAGGCTCGAGTGCATGTCAAAGTGCATTATATATCTAGTTAGAGTGTGAGCTTTAAGTGGTAGGAGGCCTCTCTATTGCCAACGAGGTGAGAGAGACAAGTTAGCTACCAGTATACCTGACTTTCTCTCTCTCTGAGGGCTAATAACTTGGATATCATAATATAATAAATAATACGTGAATCAATGTTGCTCTATTTTTGGCTTCTAGGTAAACTGGGTTCGAGTCACTTCTAGGGTGTGGAGTTTTCAGTCGCATATATGCTTCGGGGACCATTCAAGCTTGTTTGTATATATATATATATATATATATATATATATATATATATATATATATATATATATATATATATATATATATATATATATATATAGTTAGTTATCTTTCAAGCTGTATGTGTCTTTAAGTGAAGTTGGCTTTTAATATCAGTCAATTACAACAAAATCTATTCTATTTACTCTGCATCAACCGGGCCTTGTCATTTTAATGATATAATCGAATATATAATTATATATATTTTTCTTGCATTCATTAGTAATTGATTTGAAATCTGTGTAAACTATATCAATCGTTAATTCGTATCCAGTTTCGTAATTACAGTTTACGTTTGTATTTTTATAAATGTAGATACTTGTTCATTTATTTATAAAAACTTTTTAATTCATTTAAATTCAATTTAAGTATTTTATTGTATATACCAACAGGCGTGCCCTGCTTCTCGGTGAGTATACTGAGAGTATACTTTAGTCCTGGACTATGTTCAAAAATAAGGTATACTCGCTGGTTATTAGGGTTTTGTGGAGGCCCTTAATAACCCTTCAAAGGTTTATTGGACTTAATAACCTTCAAGAGGTTTGTAGGCCTTAATAGCTTTCCAGAGGTTAATAGGCCTTAAACCCAAGACCAACTCAAGTTCCATGGCCCAATAGAGAATATGTAGGTTCTATTAGGTAAAGACACAACATATGTGGTAAGTTTTATTAATTCACACATGAGAAACATAACTCATCAGATGAACAGGTGACAAGCTGTTGTCCCTGAAGAATACAGCTTGATATAACACATCTGGCTATGTTATATGTGACACTCGTGCTATATTATATTTATATATCACTAAGAACTCTATTTGACCCGGCCAGGACTCGAACCCATGTCGTCTAGGATCACCTCTAAACATACACAGTACCGTGACTACCGCACCAATGATCGTCAAATTGGATCATTGAAAAAGACGATCATTGGTACGGCTTGCGCGTTCATGCAGCTTTCACACATATTTATATATATATATATATATATATATATATATATATATATATATATATATATATATATATATATATATATATATATATATATATGACAGTCTATCACTAGTTAATATGACACTATCACTATAATTAATGACATATAATTAATAATTATAAACATTAATGACATATAATTATAATTAATGACATAATTAATTCCACTTATGTTCAGAGCAGCAATGTTATATGGGTATCTACCTAATGTTTATCTGTTAAAATAATGCTATTAAAGGAGGAGAATCACTGTTGAAACATCTTAATATGTCTATCAAAACCCTTTGTAACCATTAACTTAATATGTCTAAGCAAACTTTTTTGTATAACCAATATAAAGGGCTTTGTTAGACCATTTAAAGTCAACATTAACCTTAACATCTGAAGACAATTCCATTTCAGAAACTTTTGTCATTTCATGAGACAATTGTGCTTGCATCTCTGTAGAGAAACACTAAGATGAAAGAAGATTAGTATATTTTTGTAGATGGGAGCAGATAGGTAAATCTTCCACACGAGTTTGGCAGATCTTCCACATTGGAGCGACCAAGCCTTCATATCACAAGCCTCAAACACATACTGTCATAAACTTCTACATTTAAGAACACGCCTGCATTAGATACTGAATTGTTATTGTGACACTGTTATCTTTGTCTGAAAGTACTAAAACAGCAAAGTTTCAAGTGATAATAGCATACATTTCATGATGAAATTCAGACAGATTACATTCAACCTATCCTCGGATTATGCTCGTCTAAGCTGCAGTCGTCCCTAACCCATCCTTAAGATATACTATCCAATATGCAGTCGTCCCTAACCCATCCTCAAGCTATACTATCTAAAGCTGCAATCGACGCCAAAGACGTGTTTATCTACTTAAAAGAAATGCGCATCAAAATTAACGCATTTGCTCAAATGCTTTTGCTTTAATTTATGCTCAAATTAATACTTTTATATACATATTGTAATTTGGCAAATAGATCTAGATTAGGTTTCAGTAAGTGTTTTAGTTCCGCTGGTAATTACTTGTGTTTTGTATATCATAAGTGAAGCATTTATTGGTGCAATTCGAACACAAGAAATGATAAAAATATTGCTCGAGAAAGATTCATATGTAATCATTTGTGAGTCGTGAGGAAAAATTATGTTTCAATCACCTGTTCCTCGACGCCTTAAGATGAAACTCCCTTAACACTTGTACTTCAAATAAACGAACTCTCACTAACACTGTCAAATAGACGCCCTCTCAAATGAAGCTTCAGATAGATGCCCAATTTATTACTACAAACTTAGACAGCAAACTTACTGCCACTCCACAGACTCTCACTACCACACCACACCGAGTGGGTTGGCCTCACACACACCGTAGAAACTTGCCGTCATCTCCTTATCGTTAAGCGCACCTCCGATTATCCTGAAGGCAGCCGGACTAGGAGTGTCGTCATAACACGTGGCTACGGATGCTGTAGAGGTGTTGAGATAGGGCGTCTGATCTCCCCATATCTTGGGACCATTATCAATCATCCTTGTAAGATCCACCCACAGCTGTTGGCCTAGAGGGAGAATAGGACCTATATTTTTTATATAAAACTACAAATATACAAAACTAATGGCAAGTTATGATACATCTAGGTAAGGCTCCTGGTAGATGGGTAGGAGTTTGGTGATGGATTACACTTGATCATCAGAGTTAGCTGATATCTATATTGGACATCCAGGTGGTGCTGCCAACCAAGGGCAATCAGCCAAGTCCCATAATCACATAGGTCTGGATCAGCAGTGTAATTTTATACCTATTGCTTCCGGATCTTGGGAGTTTTCCCAAGAACCTGGGTCCTAGGTCCGTCGAAATAAGGAAGGACCCAAGAGCTGCCAGCTACCAGTGGCTCAATATGACAATACTGAGGTATACAGTATGACAATACTTGTCATACTCAGTATGACAATACAGCCTCCCGAGGGTCCCACAAATTCTGTACATTTTCTTCACCAAGGCAAAGGGTCCCCAGAAATTTAACCAGAGTGATACCTCTTGTATAAGGGATTTGACATTGCTTAAGCAATTCACATCAAACATATATCCATCCAGTTATCAAATAAACTGCTCGGATCTAAGTAGACGTCCGTCCATCGGCATGAAAAGGTGATACCTAATATTGTACTTTGAGAGGACGAACCCCAGAGCTAAAACACAACACGTTCAACTAGGTAAGAACAACTTAGTACCATACACACCTGTTTCAGTTGCCATATTCAAGGCAGTTTGGTATCGGAGAACAGTTTTGGGCATAAGGAGACGATGGCCGGGGATCTTCGCACACAGTGTCTTGGCCGAGGGAAAGTCGAGAGCCGAGGTGGGGATGAGGTAGAGGAGATTGTCCTCTCTGAACGTGTAAGTCCCTGTGACGGAATCTGTAAACGTGTAAATAAAGGAACAAATATATTTCCTACATCACATGTAACACGGGATATCACATTAATTCATTTTGTTGGTGTGGTGTGTATTAGTGTGATTTAACTTCTTTCGATAGATTTGTAACTAGTAAAATGTTGTCCTCTCTGAAGCAGTACTTTGAGAAACGTTTAATGTATAGGAGTGGGTTTGACAAGCATCTTTTTCAACAGTATACCACAATTTTTTATCATTTTCTACTATATCAAGTAACAGAAAATGAATATGAATATTTGTAGGGATGACTCAAGCACACGCACTCTACTGTGTTTTCTCTAGTAAAACCATCCGTATATCGTATAAAAAGTCTAACTTTACACATACTTGCCAACACATACGCTCTTAAACTTATAAAAAAATTTAAATGCAAAAAGAATAAGCAATAATTCTGATATTTTATTTATATCAGATGAATCGGCTAAAAGTTTTTTTCACGTTTTCCAAATACATTACAGTCCCCAATCACATAATCATTTTGCTTGGCAAAAGCACTAACATAAAAGAAAATTAAGATATTCTTTAATAAATTGTAAATCATTTATGAGTAACACATACAAATTACACAACGTAAAAAGTCTCATCATAATCCCTTTCTATACATCTACCAAGTGTTATGAAAACCGGTTCCGGGGAAAGCAAATCAAAACTACACAATTATTGGACTACCAACAATGATGGTGAAGGAATCGCGCGACGTGCGAGAATAACCCAACCACTGAAGGGAAGGGCAAAGGGCCAAGTCATTACGACTATATAGAACTTGTGGCAGGATGTCACCCCCAATCACTAGACTGAACCAAACTTGTGCGCCAGTATATCAGGGAGATACATGGCTTGGAAACAAGGCGTGTGTAACAACTGCTATATTCCCAACCAACCTGTCCTCTTAATTAGTTGTATATTTTACGGAATTTACGTAATTTATTTTAGGTAATCTAGCAAATCGTTAAAAAATTGGGATCGTTTTAGTACAAATCATATTACCATAATTTTGATGTTCTTAATGCATCAACCTCAGTGGATAGGTACATATGCTCCTAGTGAGGTAAATTTTTATTTTATTTACTAAGTAGCTGAAACGAGAGAGTGGGTAGACACCCTAGAACACTCCACTAAGAGTCTCACCATGCCAGAAGAGGTAGGTAGCCTGGGTGTTGGTGATGAGTGTAGACTGGACGGGACCCTTGCTGGCCAGGCGACACTGTACTCCTCCCGTCGACACCACCACCACCGCCACCGCCAGGCACCGCGTGTCCGACCAACACCCCCACCGACACTCACCTGTATACCGTGAAGAACATTATTCATCTTAAACTCACTAGATTTAGTGTGAATGGTGGAGTTGTATGTGTTATTCTGATTTCTATATCGGGTGTTTAGAAGCTTGGATATTTCGTGAAGGACAGGGTAAGGTAATGAGAGGGAGAGCGGCAAGTGTAAGATTATACACCACATCAGATGTATATGAGGTCAGGACGCTGGGATATAAGGAAAGGAACGGGGGCCCAAACATTTGAACGACTGGGGGATCGAACTACGAACTTGAAAGAGCCTAGATCTTCGCTTTGCATCCACCCCTTCGCCAACTTACAGGAACTGGCCACACTCAGGGTGGCGTATATATCTTGGTCGCTGAGACTGGTGTTGGCGGCCACCAGGAAGTTGCCGAGGGATGCGCTCTGGACGTATCTGACAGAGGGCTCGCCCGCTGTCACCTCTTGCAGGGCGGATAACAGCTTCAGCGCGGCCACCGCCACCATCACCATCGCCGAGCTCCTCTCCGCCATCAGTTCGATGTCTCCCTCCTGAGGAGCAAAATGGATACCTTGTTTAACGTAGGCTGATTTGATGATGGTTAGCAACGTACACGTCTTATGGTGTTTTAAGATTGTTTTCGATGTGTTTCGGTAGTTTTGAAGAATTTTTAAGGCTTCAAGTAGTGTGTGTGCCTATGTATCAGAGAGAGAGGAGTCATGTCATGTCAAAACCTGCCCGAAACGCTGCGCGTACTAGTGGCTTTACAAGACTGTAATTACCATTTTATGTATCCTCACATTCCCAATGTGCCTTCTTGTATATGCATAAATAAATAAATGTGGCGGAGTCTGACAAGCCATCAGCTCATAGCTGTGGATCAGTTCCCGCAGCAGGACGGAAACGCTTGCACAACGTATCCTTTCACCTGATGGCTCTGTTCACCTAGCAGTAAATAGGTACCTGGGAAGTCAGGCAACTCTTGTGGTCTTCATATTCTAAGGATAGAAGTAGACGATCTAGAAGATAGGATTTCCTATTTACACACACACATGGAGGGGCCTGAGAGCTGAGTAGACAGCGCCCTGGAATCCTAATTCTAGGGTCCGGGTTCGATCCCCGGTGATGGCAGAAACAAAATGGGCAGAGTTTCTTTCACCCTGATGCTCCTGTTACCTAGCAGTAAACAGGTACCTGGGAGTTAGACAGCTGGTTCGAGCTGCTTCCTGAGTGGGTGTGTGTGTGTGGGGGGGGGATAGTAGATTGATTGACAGTTGAGAGGCGGGCCGAAAAAGCAGAGCTCAACCCCTGCAAGCACAACTAGGTGAATACACACACACACACAAACAGGGTGAAGCTCACTGTGAACTTATAGGAAGCCACCGGCTTCACTTATCGTTACAGTCTCCGTGGTGTAGTGGTAAGACACTCGCCTGGCGATCCGCGAGCGCTTTGTCATGGGTTCGTATCCTGGCCGGGGAGGATTTACTGGGCGCAAATCCTTAACTGTAGCCCCTATTTAACTCAACAGTAAAATGTGTACTTGGTTGTAACAACGATTCTTCGCGGCGGGGATCGTATTCCAGGGACCTGCCCGAAACGCTACGAGTACTAGTGGCTCTACAAGAATGTAACAACTCTTGTATATATCTCAAACAAAAAAATCCCTCACACACACTTATAATCCCTCACTCACATGTAATCCCTCACCCACATGTAATCCCTCACTCACATGTAATCCCTCACCCACATGTAATCCCTCACTCACCCACATGTAATCCCTCACTCACATGTAATCCCTCACCCACATGTAATCCCTCACCCACAGGTACGTGACACAGGAATTATATACTCAGTCATATATACCGTCATGGCCCCCAATGACATACTGGCGACAAGGGCAGTTTTTTGTGAAGGTTTGTGTTGGAGTAATTTCTCCGGATCAATCCATTGTTTTTCTGGTAAATGTGTGTTTTTTGGTGTATAAGATCGAGTAGTCAAGGACAACCGTGTTTGTTATGACAACAAAACTAGCTTTTGTTATGTGGTCCTGCGGTTATAGAGGCCATCTTATAATGGTTTGTTTAATGGATATTTTTACGAAATTTCATCGGGCGGCATTTTGGTGGGTAATCTTGTCTTGGAGAAAATCTTTGTAGCAGGATGATGGGCTCGAACTATCGTCTTGAGTCAGCACAGCCGCGCGGCGCAACCCATGTACTAAAAGTTTGCTTGCGGCGTCTTGTTCCAAAGATTTGATTATAGATGTCTCACGTTTATCTGATTTTAATGTGTTTTAAAGCTATTGTTTAATGTAAATGGGCTTAATTGCCGTAATTAATTGTAATAGGGTTGCTTAACTCTTTTTCTGTTAAGGTGGGAGTAGCACGTTGTCAAGGCGCTGGATAAACAGGACGTCAGCATTTTCGTTATTTTCACGTTAGCGCAAAAAACAGTGTGATGAAGTACTTGAATTTTATGTACGTGTGTGTGTGTGTGTGTGTGTGTGTGTGTGTGTGTGTGTGTGTGTGTGTGTGTGTGTGTGTGTGTGTGTGTGTGTGTGTGTGTGCTCATTTGTACTTACCTATTTTTGCCTGCAGGATTGGATTTGTGCCTGCAATGACTCCTGGCCTATTTCCCAATCATACCTGCTTTTAAAGTTATGAATGGAGTTTATTTACCTCTTCACCCTGCTTCTTTAGGGCATTGCATTTACTCACTACCCTTACGCTAAAGGAAAACTTTCTAACATCCCTATGACACATCTGAGTCTCAAGCTTCCATCCGTGCCCCCTTGTTCTGGTGATATTCATTGTAAACACACATAGTAAGGTTGTATAGTACACTAGGCTATAGTATTCGCGTTAACAAACAGACCTCTGTTTCATCCCTGTCAATCCCTGTGTGTGTGTGTGTGTACTCACCTAGTTGTACTCACCTAGTTGTGCTTGCGGGGGTTGAGCTCTGGCTCTTTAGTCCCGCCTCTCAACTGTCAATCAACAGGTGTACAGGTTCCTGAGCCTATTGGGCTCTATCATATCTACACTTGAAACTGTGTATGGAGTCAGCCTCCACCACATCACTTCCTAATGCATTCCATTTGTCAACCACTGACACTAAAAAAGTTCTTTCTAATATCTCTGTGGCTCATTTGGGCACTCAGTTTCCACCTGTGTCCCTTAGTGCGTGTGCCCCTTGTGTTAAACAGCCTGTCTTTATCTACCCTGTCGATTCCCTTGGGAATCTTGTGTGTGTGTGTGTGTGTGTTTTCTTACTTGATAAAGTTTAAAAAGCATAGCTTCAGCTCCTGGGCTACGACCCTTTCCGAAAGACAGTGGTTTAATACACTAACTTTCGGATCATGAATTTATTTTTAAATTTGAATTTATTTTTAAAGTACACACCTAGTTGAGGTCACAGGGCCGAACTCTTGTTCTATAGTTCTGCCATGACATCCCTTGGTCAGTTTCATTCCTCCTTTCATCGCTTTTACTGTTAAGATGGCACCGATCTCCTCTATCTACATACTATTACGCTGAAGACGTTTATTCTTGCAGCTCTCTGTGTCTTCTGTGTCTCCAGCCTCAAGCCGTGTTCTCTGGTCCCATCTCATATGTGTCTCCAGCCTCCAAGCCGTGTCCTCAAGTCCTCTTATATTGAACATTTGTTCAAAATGGTTCACCAAAACATTTGGTGAACCACTTTGTTCACCTTGTCAATACTTAAATCTTGTACGCTATCGTGTTGCTACCGATCTAGCTGTCCTCCATCCTGATGAGTTTGAATACGCTCAGCTTCTAACCTCAAATCTAGTCTCGTATCTTTGTACTTTTCTATTTTAAGTTTATAGGTGTGGATTCCAGGCCGGTGTTGCATATTCAAGAGCAAACTAGGATTAGCCTACACCAAACATAACTAACAAACCACAACCTGGAACAAACTACGTACAAAGCCTAACAATTGAGATAATTACACTAAACCTTAAACTCAATACAAAGCCTAATCATAGGAACTAAATAGACCTGATAACCTATACCTTAGGCAGTAAGGAACAATTGTCTACCGATATTTAATTGTTCACACACTTATTCAACCAGGATTAATAGGAAAGCTGATTGTAAACAACAGATTGTAGGATCGTGTTCCAGGAAAACCAATCTTCTGTACCCACCTGAATAAAAAGAAAAATAACAACCTTACGAAGCCTAGTCGTATGGCATTTTGTGTTTAGTACAATTCAGCATTAATAGGATAGGTTAACCAGTTAATGCAGTTCTAGCAAGATTTGGGCAGATGACTTTATTGATATCTTTAATCTTATTGAAAGTTATTATGAGGTGTATCAGCATCTGTAACTCAATTCACAATTTGATGTTTAGATGTTGCTAAATCAACAAAGAGACATTCAACTTATTTTTAGCACTTACAACTGTTTGTGTCTCTTAAGTGCGTTTTATCAGGTGTATAGCGCGTTGTAATCACGTGAATTGTATATGTATAGGCCAACGTATTGTATATGTTGGCCCACATATACAATATGTTAGTTCATGTACTGTAGATTTTAGCCTATATATTGTATTTGTAGGCCTACCTGTTGTATATGTTGGCTCGCGTATTATGTATGTTGGCTCATGTATTGTGTGCGTTGGTTCACTTACTGTATTTGTAGGCCCTTGTATAGTTTATGTAAACCCACGTATTGTTTATGTAGACTAACGTATTGTTTATGAGAACATGTGACCAGTGGTTGAGAGAGTACCAGGTCACCTGAGGCAACTCACCGGCTAGTGCAGACGAATGTACCAGGAGTACCGGGCCAGTTACAACAGTCGAGGGAGCGGTTACCGTACTTGGTGAAGCTCAGGCTAGTACTGAGCTATCCACCTCACACCCTCTCTCTCTCTCTCTCTCTCTCTCTTTCTCTCTCTCTCTCTCTCTCCACCCACGGCGTTGTTCGCTTGTATTCTTGCTATTCGTTTTTTTTGGTCATTTGGAAACAGGTTCCCACAATCTCACACGCACATTGGGTATGTTTGGCTGGAATCTGCTGAATGATGTTTAATGCAGAGTTGACAAGCACGGACTGATGGACACGCACACATAAATTTTCTGTCTTATTGTATATAGATTTGGTGTGTTCCGTTCATTGTCTAAAATAATTTGGTGAGTTTATTTATCTCTTCGAATGAAAAAAAATCAAAATTTGCATACATGCGCTAAAATTTATGACAACTATTACTACGATTCAATAAAATAAAGTAATAAAAATTGTTATAATATAATATAATAAAAATAACAGTGTCACAAATATGAATAATAATGACAGCAAAAGAAATATTAACAAAATTTAAATCATAAATTTTAATATGCTAAAATACTACCATAGATCTATAGAGGTGTTACCCCAAAAGTTAAACAATACCTACTTTAAAAAAAAAACGGAGGCATTCCTAATTGTATCAGTTATAATGCTAAAATAATAATTGAGAGCATTAGGTAATAATTACAAAATTGAGTTGAGGAAATATCCCTG